CGTGTATGAGGACATGAAAAACCGCCTCGATTTGTATGACACCAGCGACTACCCCAAGGACCATGCCATACACAGCACGGAAAATAAAAAGGTCCTAGGTAAGATGAAGGACGAGTGTGCTGGCACGCCCATAGCTGAGTACATAGGTTTGAGGCCTAAGATGTACTCCATCCTGAAGGCCGACAATGGTGAGATCCGGAAGGCGAAGGGTGTTAAGAAGTACGTGGTGAAACAACACATCAAACACGCCAGATTCAAGGAAGCCCTGTTCAAGACCCGTACCTTTAGACATAAAATGAACACACTTAGAAGTGATTGGCATAGGATATACGGACTGACTATAAACAAGACGTCCCTGTCGCCGATGGACACTAAGCGTTGGATAACACGTACACGTACTGGCATGAGAAAATTGAACCAAGAACATAGGTGTATATTTATCGGGGCGACATGTCACGGAACCAAAGAAAGTTTGAGGCTATTTACTACAGCCCGCGTGGGTACTGGAAAGGAGCTAGCGCCGTACATAAGCTGGCTAAAATGGCGCGAGTACCCCCAAACGAGGCCAAAGCATGGCTTGAAAAACAAGCCCTGTGGCAGATCTATTTACCGGCACCACGCTATGTGCCTAGAAGGAAGTTCTGTATTAACATACCCAATAGCGTTCACCAGGCCGACCTCCTATTCCTACCCCACGATAAGAAGTACAAGTATGCCCTAACCGTCATGGACGTTGCCAGTCGCTACAAGGAAGCCGAACCCTTGACCGCGAAAGACTCGGCCCAGGTAGCCCGCGGATTCGAACCCATGTACAAACGCAGTCCGCTGACGTGACCCACAGAGCTGCAAGTCGACCCCGGGCGGGAGTTCATGGGTGCCGTGTCACAACTGCTAGACAAACACGATACCAAGGTCAGGCGTGGTGCTGCCGGGGCTCATCGCAGCCAAGCCATAGTTGAGAGATTCAATCGGACTTTGGCAGAGCGCTTATTTGGGCATCAGTATGCGAGAGAGATGACCAACCCAGGGAAACGATCGACTGAATGGGTAGCGCGGTTACCCCAGGTGGTGTCGGCCATCAACCACGAAATCACCCGTCTCACCGGCAAGAAACCAGCCGACGCTATCAAACTAAAATCAATAGTGCCAGAGTCGGCTGCACCATTGCGTGGGAAGGAGAAACAGATACCCGAAAGGGCCCCCGTGAGGTACCTCTACCAGCCGGGGGAACACGAAGGGGATAGTCGTAAGCGAGCCACCGATCCGATATGGTCAGTCAAAACTTACAATATAGATAAAGTGGACATCAAAGCCGACGAGCCGAACTTGTACTACTTGAGAGATGGGCCAGGGAGAGGGTTCGTTAGAGAGGAATTATTGATCATACCGTACGGTACAATGTTACCTCCTGTAAACGCGACATAGCGGCACAATAGTGTTACGCGTGGCCGGGAAGTTAACTGGGGGTTCAAAAGTAGTAGATATACTGGGGCGAGGTCTAAGGGCCTAACCAAAGCTTTATTTGTGAAATAAAGCTTTACAGAGGCTTTTGTTGGACTTGATCTCGGACTGTCATTATATCTACTACTTCTCTTTATACCTGGGGCGCCCAATAAACCCTAATGGTTGCCCCTTCGAATGGCCTGGCTAAGTTTCAAGGGCGACGCAGATGGCCCAGTATCACTCTTCACCCAGCAGCAATATGTCCGGGGTAGCCACGGCGATAACAATATACATGTTCCTGTGATTGTGGCTGTGTCTTTCTTGAGGTTGCGATGGTAGAGTGAGCTATGGCACATATGAAGCTTGTGGCTAAGAAGGTATCTCCTGGCTGCTGGATTGCTTTGTCTGAGGTGGGTGGAACGATGGTCCATTCCGTTTCGCACACTGCTTGTTTTCCCTTGAGAACCTGTTGTCCGACTTCCATTTTTGTGGTAGCTGAGTGGGTTATGCGGCTGACTTGGTTTGCTGCGATTAGGTGCCTGACTCTGAGGGTGTGTTTCGAATCCCGGATAGGACTCAACCCAACAAAAGTACTTGAATCTGTACTTTACCAAATATAACATACAGAACATTTGACCACATTCTAAAAGGCACTGTATATGCAAATACTTGAGCTGAATGTTGACATTGCTCCTTTAGATCGCATAGCTCTGTATTGATTTCCATCATCATATCTTTAAGGTCCATCTTCGTTAGTAGCAGATGCAGTAGACGGATAAGAGGATGTGGCCATCTTGATGGTAACTGTCTTGTTTCCAGTGTGAGTCTTTATATCAAACTCAACTTCCCTCCACATAACCAGAGCTCATCAAAGTCTAAGATGGTCTCATACTGGTGGACAGCAAGGCTCTTCAGTTCAGGCTTAAGATTTTCCCACATCTTTCATTTTGGCAGTGTGCCCAAGTTTCATGCCAACCAATGTGGTCTCTCCCTTCAAAGACTTTCTTACAGCCTTCAGAATCACATCTGGAGAATGCATCCCGGACTTTAGGAGACATTGAACTTCGTATTTTGACTCTCCTCTTAAAAAATGATATCTTCGGAAAGTGATGGTATATATACTGAGTCAAAAAGAAACTTCACAAAATGTAATTTGAAAAATAATGAATAATCTTTCTCTGATGATACATCTATGTATCCGAAATGGGATCCCTATCTTTCGACTCTCGAAAAACGTTAGCAAAACCCACTCAAACCCATCCATTCGTCGTGCAAATGACGTTAGTGCCAAATCAGGTTTTGCACGTGCAGTCGATCACGTGATCTTCGCATCGAAGTTTTCTTCATATGCACGTGTTTGCATTGGCCTCAAGAATTGAAAAAACACTTTTAAACCACAGTTGTAACGGTACTTGAAATGCCACGATTGTCAAATGTGCAATGTGAACGTGCCGCCGCTGGCATGTTGCAAGCGGGAAGATCAGTTATTGACGTCGCCAAGAGCAATGGGATGCAGCCGTCGTTACTGTGTATGACTTGCGAGGTCGTCTACAACAAACTGGCACCACTTCTGATCGCCCAAGGTCGGGTCGTCCACGTGTGACGTCACGAGCAGAAGACCGTCAAATCGTCCTACGTCACCTACGTGACAGATTTCTGCCGGCTACACGAACCAGGGCTGAGATGTTTAGAGGTCGACTGTCCTCACAGACCATTCGAAATCGGTTGCGGGCTGCCAATCTCCATTCTCGACGTCCATATCGTGGGCCAATATTGACGCCGTTTCGTCAACGTCAACGTCTGCTGTGGGCCCAACGTCACCTCCGATGGACCCAGAGAGACTGGAATCGAGTCGTCTTTACCGATGAATCCAGGTTAACCCTCAGATTCGCGGACGGCAGGCATAGAGTCTGGAGACGACGTCGTGAACGGTATGCCCAATGTTGTGTACAGGAAGTCGACAGATTCCGGGGCGGAAGTTGCATGATGTGGGGTGCTTTCTGTGGGAACAACCGTTCCCGACTTCTGGTCATCCGTGGAAACCTCACAGCTGCTGCTTACCGCGACCAGGTGCTCACCCCTGAACTCGTTCCTTTCATGGCGGCTCATGGCCCAGGTCTACAGTTCCAGCATGATAATGCTCGGCCGCATACCGCGATATTGACACGAAATTTCCTTCAAAACGCTGGAATCAACATCATGGACTGGCCATCGAGGTCCCCTGACCTTAATCCAAATGGGATGCACTTGGGAGAAGGCTTCCGTGATCTTAGGAACCAACCTCAGAATTTGCAGGAACTTGGCGCTACCTTGCAAGAGCAATGGCGCAGAATCCCCAACCACGTGTTCACAAGCATCAGGCAGTCGATGAGGAGACGGTGTTTGGCAGTGGTGAATGCGCGGGGCGGCCATACACGATATTGAACTGAGAAATTTCGCATTTTTATCCTTGTGACTTGACATTCTGTATACCCATGTTTTGGAACTGATTATGGCACTGTCAGTGTATCGAGTACATCACACAGATTTCAGCAATGAAATAATAACAATTTAACAATCCTACCATCTCTTGTTCTTTTATAGTGCCCTGAAGAAAGAATGTGAAGTTTCTTTTTTTGACTCAGTATAGTACACGATGCAAAAGGTGGCGCCGAAGGTTCAAGACTATCGGCTCAGTAGGGCCGTTCACCTCAGGCTCTGTTTTCACAATAGTTCCTTCCTGTGTTACCATTCCATGGACCTAAGATTTAAAATCATCTCGATTGTCAACCTTGGGAGATAGTCCCATTTTGGTCAAACAAAATCAGCTTTTCATCTAGGTTTTCTAGGTTAATGATTAAAGGATATGCGGCCTTTCATGTGGGAATATGCAAATGGGTATGCAAAAGTAATGCACAAAAAGTGAAAAGATGTAAGACAACTAGGAGAAGTTGCAATGCAAAAGGGAAGTCCTAAAGCCCTTTGACATGGACTGAGAACCAGAATCTGAGCATAACTGAAAGACAATAGATAGATTGCCTTATTATTCCCCAGAACAAAACGAAGAACTCAGTGATATAAGTAGACACTAGCGTGCTACATGAGCAAAGCTTCAAAGGTAAGCTAACAGTATGTCTGTTTTAATAATTTGATAAATCAAAGCAGCTATTGGTATACATTAACTCTAAACAATAATTGTGGAATTAATATCTTCATCTTTTTTAATTCAGTTATCTTAAAAACCAAGACGTTTTAAAGAGATTTGAAAATGTGTACAGTATAGTTTCTTATTACATGGATGTGAAATATATGTGGAACGTCAAATATTGTCAAAGAAAGTACTCAATTGGAAACATGGAGACAGTTATGTAAACAAACGCACGTATGTGGATCTGAATCTCTCACTGAGCATGGCCCTATCTCTATTAACAACTGCAATTTTTGCAGCACAGGTCTGTTGGTTATGTCAATGCGACTTAAGTTATTCGCGATTTTTTTAAACGATCACATACTGCCATAACGCATTTAAGTATTGGGGATTATTTTGAACGAAGCACCTCAACCCTTACGCGCATTCTGATTGGTTTAATGATAGTGGGACGAGTGGTGACCAATGGCGGAATTGGTAAAAGTCCAAAGCTAATCTCCGAGATACACTCCTCCGACAGGACGATTCCTACCAGCTGTGCCCGTAAGTAATGAACACAAAGTTATGTAACCTTTTGTGTTTACATTTCACTTTTGAGCTATACTCAAGTATGCTCTTTTCATTTTTTAAAGGGCTCCATGAGCCCGACCCGATTTCCCAAGGCCAAGGGCTTACTTTTTCAAACAAAACCGAGGAGGAAGTTTTGATCCAACTTGAACCGACCGAAGATATACTTTAGATATTATTTAGATATTTGGCATTTACTGTTGAAATCAACTTGGATGCAAGCCGACACCTTGCCTTGCACGTGCTCTGCTCGCACTACCAGTCTTGTGAGGAACACGTGGTTCATACTAACAAACAATCTCATTCTTCTCAGACGATCCTTCGTAGCCTAGTGGAGTATACAAGTAAGCGAAGGGCTGAAGATTCGAAACCAGGTATCGGCACTATATATTGGAAGTTTTCAATAATGTGATATTTTACGAACGTGTTCAGTGATAGCAAGACAAAGTTATATCAATGTTCAAAACAGGTAATAATTCAAAGTCAAGGGCTATTCCTCAGAAAATCAACGGGATGTCACGGAGAATGCCCGTGAAACTGCCTGTAGAGGTTTACTCAGTAAAAGGAGAACTGGCGAGACAATAGAGTGACGTCACTGGAGGTTTATGATTCATGGTAACAACATGAAAGTCCTCAATAAAACCTTTTCGTGGTTGACCTGTGGAGAATATTTGAAAGTGTTTTTGTGAAGAGTAAACTCCGTCAAGTTAGATGGGCTCACGCTTTCACGAACTCTTAGTATAATTACTATTAGATGATGATGATTCCTTAATTCATTCGCATGCTGCAGACTGGTTTTGCAGAGATTTCCGGATAAATGAGGGGTTTGTCGCTTAGGCTAGTAAACCTCTACTGCACCTTACAAACTCGTATATGTGTGCCAATGTATACAAAGTATGTACTTCAGTATACAGCAGTTGCCTGTACGTATTAGTTTTGTAACAGTGAAGTTCTCTTCATGTATTCACAACAGGTAAATTGCATACACTACAAAAAATACTACTGCATTCTGTATAAGCCCCGTGTTTACTTGTCGTCGGTTGATGACGTCAAGGTAGTGGTATTGATGTCACTCAAACCTGGCCTGAGACCCCTAAGAATAAATGTTCAGTATGGTTCAGTAATCTTTACTACGGTCAGATTTGATAAGGGGTCAAGAATTGTCCGTCCTGTTCTCTCACTCCTCCCCACACTACCTGCACAATGTGCAGTCACTGTACCACATCCAGGTACACCTGTGCATGTAATACAATACCTGTACAATGTGAAGTCACTCATGGTTATTCAGCACACCAGGCCAAGGACATTATTTTTTCTTAGATAAACAGTGATTGCATTTGTATGCACACTTGTAACCTATGGATGCCTTGTGCGGACATTGTCGCGTTTTGCCCGTACAAACGAGTACAGAATTAATTAAGATACCCATCCCACTCTCATTTAAATCAGATCACTAGTGGTGGTGTGTGGTCATGTCCATAGAGCTCAGATTACAAATCGGTTGAAGCTAAGCAACGTTGGGCGCGGAGAGTTCTGGGATGGGTGACCATGTTTGGCAGCTTTACTCCTGAGAGTTTCTAGGACTTCAGTCCTGTCCCACAACGAAGCACATGTGATACATTTGGTCTCACCTTAGGCAAGTGAGTTTGGCTGTGGTCTGGCCTACAGACCTTGGGAAGTATATATAACCAAGACATTCCATGCAGGTTATAACAGTTAGCAGGTCTAGATTACTGTACAGTAAAACCCGTCTACACCGGCACCCCACGGGACCGAAATAAAATGCCGGTTTAGGTGCCGGATTAGACAATGACGATCATTTTTCAAAATGTCCGAAACAGTTTGCCTGCCAATTTGAAATTAAACTGCAACTTCTTTTTGTGAAGACCGAGGGAGAGTATCAAAGTCACTGATAAGCTGAATGTTTTGAACAAGTACTAACTCCAAACGTGCCCGCTTAGCTGGTCTAGCAATCATGACACATAAAGTGATTGGTAAGTCGTGCCGGAAGACGGAATAGACAGGTGCCGGATTAGACAATGATTAATGATCATAAGATCGTTGTAAAATGGAGGGACCAAAATTGTATGACAGTTTTGACAGTGTGTCGGATTAGACAGGTGTTGGCAGGTTTAACTGTATTTTATTCAAATAAAGATAGTCTTTTGGTTTCTAATTGTTTTATTTTATTAAAACACTTCAAAACCTTTTTCTGTGAAATATTTTCATTTCAGAGACTAGATGTGAGTCTACACTTGTCGGTCAAGTTCGGGAAAGGTCGTTGTGATCTCACTTTAGTGAGAGTCGAGACATCATGGATAGATAACATTCTTAAATTTAAAGCATTATTTCAGATACTTTTAAAGGTCTGTGTCATTTTCATTTGGGCGGAAAAAATAACTCCGTTGTTCCGGTCGACCCTGTTAGACGGTATATTTCAGAAAGGTACGATCCGGGGTTCGAATCCAGATTCGTCCTGATTATGTTCCTTGGTTTGTCAGTACTATACAATGGTCAGGCCTTAAACCTGTACTAACATGTGGACGAGGGTGTTAGGCTTATGTCACTTTGGTGATTTTGTATGTTCGCAATGTTGTGTCAGGGATTGTCTCCCTTCTTCACTCTCAGTGTCAAGAGGAAGTTGCAAGGTCGACTTCGAGTAAGTACTCCTCTGTGTAATGCACTATAAAACTGTCCAGACGAATACATGCAGCCACCACCCAGGGTGACAATGTGATCTTCAAACAACCATTGGTCTTGGTATAATATTAATATGGGCGAGATATGCTTGGAAGCTGGCGCTCTTCGAGCACTCCCCAAGCTTTAACTTACCGTCAGTCTGAAGTAACGTTTTTAACGTTGATAATACCACCGAGCCACACTCAAAGTTCATATGTGTGTTTGGAATTAATTTTCTGAATAGGAGTGCTTGACCTAATTCCAAGATCACTTTGGGTTCTCCTGACAGGCAGACCTAATCAGAAAAATAATTCCAAACACATATGAACTATGGGTTCCAGTTCATTACTTCCAGTTCATTACTGAACTCCATATTTAATTTTATGTTCATTTTTGTTGTTAACAACAACATTTTATGCTAAATTAAAATTGGCTGTATGATTATGTCTGTTCCCAACCATATGCATCCACTCAGTCAGTGCCATCTGGAATCAGTTCAGTCTTGCAGTCTGCTCAATGACCACTATGGCCCTCTCAACTGGGCAATACATGTTATCCTTTGGCAGTCTTCGGCTATTCTCGCTACTTTTCGGCTCCCTTCATGACTGCACCGGATGTAAATTATTTTACAAGCGTCCCTCTTTCTGCCTGCACTGCTGGTTTGACAACATCTCCATCCAAGCTGTGCTCACTGGCCACTATGTACCTCTGTACTGGGCAGCACACGTTATCCTTTGGCTGTATTCAGCTGTTCTCGCTACTCTTCCAAAATGGCTGCACCGGATGAAAATTATTTTACAGTCTTCCTTCTTTCTGCCTGTAATGTTGAAGTGACAATATCCCCATCCAATCTTTGGGTTGTGTTTTAGCTGTCTTCAGGACTGTGCATCCTGCAACCTGTAACGAGATGTTTATAAAATTAAAACATCACTACTGTGTTGTGTCATCTTTGACTGGAGTAGTTTGCGCAAATTACCTCCCTTGCCCATCTCCTTTTCGTGAGACAAACTTATAACGTCACAGTAATAATTCAATAGGTCTTACACACAAACTCTAAACTTAATTTGTATTGTGTATTTCTCTTGTGCATATGGGGCGGTGGGGTAGCCTAATGGTTAAAGCGTTGGCTCGTCACGCCGAGGACCCGGATTCGAATCCCCACATGGGTACAATGTGTGAAGCCCATTTCTGGTGTCCCCCGCCATGATGTTGCTGGAATATTGCTAAAAGCGGCGTAAAAACCAAACTCAGTAAGTCAGTCTTGTGCATATGCTTTGAACTAAATGTCTTCACAGTGAGGGCAACGTTCTTCAGTTGCGGACATCAATCATATGTCGTCCTCTATCCATTGCACGAGGTTTAAAGGTTTTGCAAAATGTATAACAGACTTGCAAGATTAAACATGTCTTGTGAAATAAAAACTAATTTGCAAACTGTAAAGAGGGTTTGGACCTTTTCGTGGATATTCGTGGATTTCGTTGCATCTAACAGTGTAACCTTTCAATCAGTCTGACGCTTCTGTTTAGGACACACTATTCAAGATGGCCGAGATTTACGACTACGTAAAGGACTTCTACAACTCCACTGCCATCAAATGTGACTTCATCTGCAAGGTCAATGACTGGGACCTTACTCCTGACATCAAGGAGATCGTGGCTGAGCTTCACCCAGAGACAATGAGGAGGTATGCGAGATGACATTGTCCAGGGTAGCAGGTCCGCAGTTTAATATAATGATTGAAACTGCGTCTTTGAAGCATGCAGATTCCGTCAGCTGGATGATCTGAACTAGAGGGGTGTCTACTGGAAGGGATGAGTAATATCATTATGTTTATGAAAAACAGAGGTGAGGATTTTTGGAAGGTATACTATTGATACCTGGCATTTTTATCCGTGTAGAGTTAACCGACACGTACCTGTAAGATGAAGGTTGACTGGAATTCTACCAACCTTTGACGTAGGGAATAAGAGAGTATTTTAGCCTGAATAATTGATTTTGTACTGCACACAGGTGGCTGCCTGCCTGTAATGCCTACTTCATATTTTCATTAAAAAACCCGTTGACAGGTCGAATTAATTAAGAGCGGAATGAATCTTCGCTAATTACCGATGGATAGCAGAATGCAAAACTGATGGTTGGCGCATGCGTGTATCTCATGTCTTGGTTGGTGGAATTACTGAAGTATTGTTAAAACGACGTAGAAGCCTCTCTGTTGTACCGGCGGATGGGATTGACATTTATGGCTTTAAATATAAAAGATTATTGTGATTTCTAGGTATTACGGTTCCGGGCTTATCATTCCTGAAGGCATTGAAGGAAAGCGTATCCTTGACATTGGCTGTGGGTCTGGCAGCCTCGTTTTCATCCTCAGCAAGTTGGTTGGACCAACCGGAAGTGTTGTTGGCATGGATTTAACCCCAAATCTGGTAAGTACAATGTCAGGCCTACCATACGCCTAGATATGCAATTCATGGAGGATGATAAACTTTTTGCAAACTTTTTAAATCACTAAAATATATTTACTTTGAATGTGACGCTAAGAATACTTCATTAACAAAACTGAAGAGAAACAGTAGCACAACATGTCGACAACAAAATACAAACCCTCTACAGTCGGACGAGGGACCACATTGTGCAGAATCGCAAGCCTGACAGAGATGTATGAACATAGGTTTGAAGCTTACTACAATTGGGGGTTGATGCGCTACATCCCGATATCAAATTTTCAAGATTAGACTTATAGTGACGAAAAACATTATTTACCAAAGCCTGTTCGTCTCCCCGCGCCGCCATGTTTGATGATTTGTATGCCGTTTTGGGATGCTATGACTGCCGTTTTGGACGCTCGGTCGCTCTTGTAGCTGATGCGCGAGTTTTGTTTCCATTTCAAACACTTAGTTTCCATTACATTGCGTTTGTTTCCGTTTTAGAGGGTATTGTTGCAGTTTTGGAAGTATATTTTCCTGTTTTGGTGATTTTTGTTCTGTTTTGGTGTATATGAGTTCAGTTTTGAGGATTTGTTCACCGCTTGTATGATAGCCCTGAATGTAGCAGAACGATTATTTTATGGAAATGTAGAAATGGGGTTGTTGGTCAATAAATACCCACAATCTTGTGCCTTCTTCTCAATTTGAATTAACCAGCAATAATATGACTGAACTACAGGTCATAGGTGCAAGTAGCCCGGAAAAACCTATCCGAAAAAGTGTTGTATATACTGTGCTTTATCTGATCCTTTAAACCGCCAAAACGCGTTTAAGGCGGGTAGTTTTCTGTTTAGTTAAAGTCTGCTGAGATTGATCATTGAAGCACACTGGAAGTTCCCTTGGCACTGCAAAAATATAATATACGTCACATCAAAAGTTTAGACTCACTAGTGTAAATATAGCCACTTACTTCAGGCAACTGTTCTAAACTAAATTTTGCAAAATTGTCCATACTGTTAAAAGGTACTGTTTACACATGAACTGGTGTATTGTAAAACAAATTCGTAACGTTGAAAAGATTATTGTTATGAGTTCAGTTAATGATAAAAATCAGTGAAAATTTGCGAATTCTTGACAGAACTTTACATCAAAACGCAGCTGTTCACATGCACGATATTTGCACATGCTTTTCAGCAATTTGATGCATGATCCTCGTGCAATTCATCTGCGTAAAGTTTGCAGTTGGTTTCCCCCAAGTTAGTGGAGAAGTCCATCTTCGATGTAACTATATATACACACATACATAATACATAGTGAGTGTTTTAAGTGAGTCTCAACTTTTGAAGAGAAGTATATATACTAATTCTTTCAGATTACCGAGTGTAAGAACAGGGAGGACTACCACCGCGACAAATGGGGATACGACAAGAAAAACACCGAGTTCTTCGAAGGCAACGCCGAGAATATTTCCAACTTGGAGGATCAGAGTTTTGACATCGTTGTGTGAGTAGAACTAACATTACCTTGACAGTTCCAAAACGCTAATGGTGCTGGAAAAGATTGTCCCAGAAGAGCTGAACAACTCGTAACTGTTCCGAACACTCGTCTTTGAAAAGCACAACCAGGGTAGCTGTGGCATGTATATGTTTTTGTTGTAAATGACCCAGTCAGGACCAGACAAACCAGTGATGTATATCATGAGCATCGATCCACGGAAGTTGAGAGGCAATCAACAAAGTCAGAAGCCAAACCACCTGATCCATTGGGACGCTGCTTAACACAAGCCTAGGTAGGGTTGGGGGTTCAAGGTGTGAGTGAATAAAAACGTTCAACAATACCTTCTTGGAATATTTTCCATATTCAACACTCACTCGTTTTGTAATCTCTATATACTTAACACATATGAATCCTTACCCACAAATCACAGTCTGGATCGATCAAAGAATCGTAGTCTAGACAACCTATGCTTCAGTTTTGATATTAGGGCTGGTTTAGGAATGCCTTGTCATTGTCAAGTTAACTGTGTAGCAGTGTATACCCCAAACATATTGGGGTCAGTTCTAATAAATGTGAAGTTGTGGATCATGCGTCGTATATACCGTGGACCCGAGTACCTGAATGTTGCCAATCAACAGCCTCTGGAAAACTGTGTCCTATACAAAGGTTTGGACGAAATAAAAATACAGTACACGTATGAGATAGGGAGATTCATTTCAAGTTCGTTTGCTATATATGCGATTATTGCATGTGTGTCTTTTCGATATGATCAACTGAGGCAATCAGCCCCTTCTTCGATTTGTATACTAGTATACATGTACTCATCTCCAAATTGTCTTTCAGGTCCAATGGTGTGTTTTGTTTGGTACCCAACAAAGCCAACGCGTTCGCCGAAGCCTTCAGGTTATTGAAAGTAAGAAGGATAGTTTCAACTCACGACGGACCTAAGTCCTGTACTTTAAAATCAACTCACGTCTGTCCTTCTCTCTATCCTTTAAATCAATTTAAGACCGTCCTTCTTCCAAGCCTTGACAAACAGCTTACGACCATCTTACTTCCGGAACTCACCTCCCATAGTTTCAAATCAACTCACAACTCACGATCATACAACTTGTCATACTTTGATAGACATTCACGATCGTCATACTTCCTTCAACACTTCCGAGGTCGACTGTATAAAGCGTACGTCCGCTAAAATCTTGTTGCGTCGTAATTCACTTGATTACGTCCACAAGCATCGTCTTGTTTTCGGCCACTTGTCCTCTTGTCAAGGAAGGATTAAGGTTCGACAGTTTTAGGACATTTTTAATGGCTGCATTAGGAATAAAGTTGTTTTATAAATTGAAAAAACATCTTTCAGCCCGATGGCGAATTGTACCTGAACGACGTGTACAGCGAGAAGCCGGCCCCTCCCGAGATGAAGGGCGACCTTAAAGCTTGGGGTGAGACTCCAATGTACTATAAAGACTAAAGTGTTCATTTAATCATCTTAGGGAATCGTCATATGAGCGAAATATTCTCAAGCACGACGTTAAACCCAATTTCAGCTCACCTCTTAGGGAGAGAAAAAAAATTCTCCAAAGCGTGCTATTGGGCACCAGACAGATAATTTGTGTGCGTATGTGATGATAAGTGTGGTGCCCCTACCTTCTGATGAAGTATGCTGTTAGATTGAGAGTGCCACAGTTTGATGTGGTGCAAAAATGGGTGCTGAATCCTTTGAGCTGGTCAAATGTATCGTATTTTTCCATAAAATACATTGAGCCGAACAGTGCGAACACAATGTCAATATCTGGTATAACCTCCGGCAACTCCAGTAACACACCTGACCGTCTTCCATAGCGAATGTAGCAGACGTTGAATTTGACGTACGGCGTTCCATTCTTGATGAAGGGTTTGTTCCAATGCATCAAGATTTTATACTGGACGATCTTGCTCTATGAGACTGAGATCTTGACTCCCGGCGGGCCAAGGTAGAGTTGCTACCGACGTTTAATCGCGATTTCAGACAGTTTGCATGGATAAGCGGCGATGTGAAAATTTCCCTGATTTAAGCAGTAACATGTATTTATGTAACTATTATAAACGATATTATCTATATTCTGTGCTATTTGAAAATGCCAATGCAACTGAATTAGAAACTGTTGAAATGTTAAAATTAAAAGTTTCACCACTTGTGTGTGAATCTGCAACAGTTATGATGTTTTAGTTTTGAACAATATGCTGCTACCATTTTACCACTCCCTACAACTTTTGTAACTTGTTGGCAGTTTTGTTATTCTTTTCCGTTGTGTAACAAACCTTGACTGTGTACATATTTGTTGTTATTATTTGTTATCAGGTATTAACTTAACTTATTATATATATATACATATATATATATATATATATATATATATATATATATATATATATATATACATATATATATATATATATACATATATATATATATATATATATATATATATATATATATATATATATATATATATAATTACTTTTACAATACAGTTCACATTTTCTGTGAAATATATAGTCAAATCGCGAGACATGCAACAAGAAGTGTTGCCTGGTAACGCGCTGAGGTGTTCGAGAATGTTAAGTTGTTATGATGTGTTATATCTCCAACAGATTTGGGTCTGACTGGATCCCAGCTTCCTGGGGAATTCCTTGCCTCGGCCAAGAAAGCAGGATTCACCACTCCCTACCTGACTTGTGTCGGCCCTGTCAATGTCAGCGAGGCCTATCAGGCAAAGTTAGGTAAGTATCCACACACTATTACTATTGACAGACTGTGGTCAAAGTAACTGAAGTGTTGAAGGCTAGGTATTGTAAACACGACAGTCATGATGCACTTGCAACACCGAGATCATTACCGGATGTCCCTGTAAAGAAAGGTTCATAGCAAAACAGTGTTTCGTCTACTATTGTGCAGCTCACCTTTTCACGAACACCTGTATCATCTTTGATTGTGATTCCTGACACAAATAATATACTCAGAATCGTACCATGAATTTCTTTCTTGCTGTGCGGCTTCAGATAACCCCCTTCCTTTTTGAGAATGACGGGTGCTATCGGAACGACAGAATATGCTTACTCTTTTCGCGAACACCTGGTGTCATCACTGATCTTCAATGATCAATTCATGTAATTTTCCCAAATATGTTCCTCTTCACACCAAGCGGAACTTGTTTCTGAGGATAGTTAATACTGGGTATTATTTTTAACTGAAGATCCATATTTATTACTATAAAAACTATGGGAAGAATGGTTTTGTCGCTTTGGTCACGTCTATGTGTTATCAGATGGAGGTGGCAATAACTAATGTTAGGTTAGAAACTACTGTTAGATACACCCCTTCCCCCTATAGCAATGCACGGTCACAATTTGTAAATGAGTGCGGTTTTTGTTAATGCTCAGCGGGAAGAAGGTATATTTGCGCGGGCAGCCGGATGTACCGTTTGGCAGGCGGAAGTAACAGAGGGCCGGCTTCGGTGACGTACAAAGGCAACATCAAAGGTCATGAGTCAGAGTTCCGGTGGGACATCAGTATGACCTTTAAGGTGAGTTATGTGAGATAGTTGGCTGCTTGTTGTTTCCGCGGCTATTTTTCACCTGAAACTTCCGCCTATAAATTATAAAGCCTGGGACAGAAAAGCTAGTCACTGACGTCATGAGTATCCGTCTCTTCATGAAATGTGTAATCGTAATCAGCGAGCCTGACCACCCGATCCCGTTAGTCGCCTCATGGCATACGACAGAAGAACCCGATGGAGCATGATAGTAGTGGTGAAAAGAATTGTTGACCACTGTTAGTGCAGATGGTGAATTGGAACACTTGGTATTCGGGGGTATCATAACCATAAACTGATGGATTGAATTAAAGGATTCAACTTTCAATCTGTCTTACTGAAACGTTGTGTTTAAACGTTTGTACGTTTCTAACATAAGAATGTCAAACCTAATCCCCTTTAAATATAGATTTCTTGCTGATCTTTCGTGAATTATGCTTTCGTTGGCTTCCAGTATTCTGCCTAAAGAATCAAGAACGGGACTTTGAAATCACTCGTATATTCTGATGAAGATCTTCCCTTTCAGAGTGGGAAGACGGTTACAGTGGACGGTGAACTTGCTACAGTTTTAGCCAGAACCCGCTACAGTGCGTTCTTCGACCTGGCGGACGCCCCCGGACCGGTCAACACTCAGCGTGTAAGTTCATGTTTCTCCTTCCCTGGCGACCAACATACAGGAGTTGGAGTCAGTTGATGGCTGATGTTGTGGTTGCGGTGACTGCCGATAAAGGCGGTCCACGTCACGAACAGCCCATTGCAGTGACGGCATGGGGGTTGTAGGGGGGGTTGCTCGCTCTAGTCTCCTGTAAATGTCGTTTCTGATTGTGTAGTCAGTGTGGTGTAGTTTGGCCACATCCTCCCGGTTTTAGGATCTGATGATGTATCATGGAACGTCTCAGACCACTACGGGAGCGCTGGGTCACCCTTATTGCAGCCTCACCAGACACACAAGGCATGTGGCCCGTGTATGACGTGAGTTATCCTCTTTCTCCGCTGTGTGGATGTGTCTCATCCGGGCGGTAAGAGTGAGTGAGTTGGGTTGTAAGTCGCTTTTAGCAATATTCCAGCAATATCACGGCGGGGGACACCAGAAATGGGCCTCACACGTTGTGCCCATGTGGGGAATCGAACGTGGGCTTTCGGCGTGACAAGCAAACGCTTTAACCACTAGGCTATCCCACCGCCCCATTTCACTCCGGACTTTTCTCATTATAAAGCTGACTTGCAGTATGTAACTGTCATACTGTTGAATGTGGTGTTACACCCAGCCCACTTCCTCAATATTGATTCAGACAGGCAACAACTTTCCCAGACCCCACCGCCCCGGGTGGTTAGAATAATACCTTATATTGTAGCTCTATATAAATACTCGTATCTTTGTGTGGAGATCTGCCTTCTTTTGGAACATCTGATTGTTGGTTTGAATGCCAGATTCCTTAAGGATATTTGCTCTCAGTACCGTTCCGATAGTCGGGATGTTCTCGCAGTGGAGAGGCGTCTTACTTCTAGCCACGCAAAATAGTTCTGCCAATTGCTCTGATGAAATGTCAGCCTTGCTATTAAAGTGTGAAAGATACATACCATAAATCCTCGGGCTCTGGAAACGAAAAATATCCGGGTTAGAATTGATCTTCAGTAACTCATGCTTGTCGTAAAAGGCGACTAACGGGATCAGGTGGTCAGGCTCACTGACTTGGTTGACACATGTCATCATATCCTAATATTGCGTAGATCGATGCTCATGGTGTTGATAGCTGGATTGTCTGGTCCAGACTCGATTATTTACGGACAACTGCCATATAGATGGAATATTGCTAAGTGCGGCGTTAACCATCCATGTCTTTTTTCAGGGTCAGAACCCCTTCACGTACCTGGACCGGTTAGAAACCGGGGGGAAGAGTCTTCCCCATATCTACACGGTGGAGTAAGAGGCTACTGGCAATGGCGTGATGTAGGAATGAAAGACGTCAATGCTTTGTTACACGTTATTGCTACTAAGGAACTGTAGAACATTAGTAACCAGCTATTTGTAACGGAATACTAATATAAGACCGCGGTCTCACGTCCCAGCAATCCAGGTGGGATTGTTGCCCTTGGGGACTCTGGGCATTGTATTAAGAAATACTTATGTTGGGACGCCGGATATTGTATTAAGAAATACTTACTTGACACCAGATATTCTATTAAGAAATACTTACTTGACACCAGATATTGTTTTAAGAAATACTTACTTGACACCAGATATTGTATCAAAAAATACTTACTTGATACCAGATATTATATTGAGAAATACTTACTTGAACCGGATATTGTATTAAGAAATACTTACTTGACACCGGATATTGTATTAAAAAATACTTACTTGACACCAGATATTGTATTAAGAAAAACTTACTTGACACCGGATATTGTATTAAGAAATACTCACTTGACACCGATAATTGTATTAAAAAATACTTACTTGACACCAGATATTGTATTAGGAAATACTTACTTGACACCAGATATTGTATTAAGAAATAATTACTTGACACCAAATATTGTATTAAGAATAATTACTTGACACCAGATATTGTATTAAGAATAATTACTTGACACCAGATATTGTATTAAGAAATACTTGCTTGACACCGGATATTGTATTAAGAAATACTTACTTGACACCAGATATTGTATTAAAAAATACTTACTTGACACCAGATATTGTATTAAGAAATATTTACTTGACACCAGATATTTTATTAAGAAATACTTACTTGACACCAGATATTGTATTAAGAAATACGTACTTGACACCGGATGTTGTATTAAGAAATACTTACTTAACACCGGATGTTGTATTGAGAAATACTTCCTTGACACCAGATATTGTATTAAGAAATACTTACTTGACACCAGATATTGTATTAAGAAATATTTACTTGACACCAGATATTGTATTAAGAAATACTTACTTGACACCAGATATTGTATTAAGAAATACGTACTTGACACCGGATGTTGTATTAAGAAAGACTTACTTAACACCGGTTGTTGTATTGAGAAATACTTCCTTGACACCAGATATTGTATTAAGAAAAACACCAAATATTGTATTAAGAATAATTACTTGACACCAGATATTGTATTAAGAATAATTACTTGACACCAGATATCGGATTAAGAAATACTTGCTTGACACCGGATATTGTATTAAGAATATTTACTTGACACCAGATATTGTATTAAGAAATACTTGCTTGACACCGGATATTGTATTAAGAAATACTTACTTGACACCAGATATTGTATTAAAAAATACTTACTTGACACCAAATATTTGATTAAGAATATTTACTTGACACCAGATATTGTATTAAGAAATACTTACTTGACACCAGATATTGTATTAAGAAATACGTACTTGACACCGGATGTTGTATTAAGAAAGACTTACTTAACACCGGATGTTGTATTGAGAAATACTTCCTTGACACCAGATATTGTATTAAGAAAAACACCAAATATTGTATTAAGAATAATTACTTGACACCAGATATTGTATTAAGAATAATTACTTGACACAAGATATTGGATTAAGAAATACTTGCTTGACACCGGATATTGTATTAAGAATATTTACTTGACACAAGATATTGTATTAAGAAATACTTGCTTGACACCGGATATTGTATTAAGAAATACTTACTTGACACCAGATATTGTATTAAAAAATACTTACTTGACACCAAATATTGGATTAAGAATAATTACTTGACACCAGATATTGTATTAAGAAATACTTGCTTGACACCAGATATTGTATTAAGAAATACTTACTTGACACCGGATATTGTATTAAGAAATACTTACTTGACACCGGATATTGCATTAAGAAATACTTACTTGACACCAGATATTGTATAAAGAATAATTACTTGACACCAGATATTGTATTGAGAAATAATTTCTTGACACCAGATATTTTATTAAGATATATTTTACTTGACACCAGATATTGTATTGAGAAATCCTTACTTGACACCAGATATTTTATTGAGAAATCCTTACGCGTTATCATTCATACGCCGACTTTTGTGACAGCGGGTGTTATCAATGATTGATTAGGATAGAAACTACACATACGTCACATGAAACTCGATTAATAATGTCACAAATCAATTTTGACCAACGTCTAGGGTTGGGATATCGTGTTAGGCAGTGATGAGTTTACCTTTAAGAGCTGAGTCAGCGAGAATCATGGTTGGGATTCCCTTCTGTTATTACCTAACTTGCGTGGAAGTATCATTGTCAGTTGCAGATTACAAAATACATTCACACATATATTTTGTTCAGTGAAGATATGTGTCGGCTATCTACTTCAGATGGAGAACCAGTGTTTTGTACAGACCGCATTTCACAGTCAATTGGTCCCGTAAAGAATAGTTTCGTTTATTGTTTTTGTTAATGTCGTATTAACCTGTCTATGGAGCAACATATTTTACAATTAAACTGAAACTGAACAACTGTCTTGATCTTCTGTAACAGCAGACTTTATGATGGACTTTATGTTCAATGTCCAATGTCGCTCAGGTACGATTAAGACCAATATATGCTGCTGGGCACCATTCCTGATCCGGAATATTCAAGTGAGTGAGTTTTAAAGGTTTAACTCAACTTTCAACCGTATTCCAGTTAGAGTAAGCTTGATATGAGAAGAAAATCCGAAGTAATGCGAGTCTTTTAGACGTTCACACGGACCACAAGTGATGACCTGGGAAAACGTCAAGGGGTCAAAATTAAAAATTACACAAATCAGAGTTCAATCAAAAAGTGCATAAAGAGTCACCTAATGAGACAAGTCAGGGGACACGTCATCAATAACGAGTGTGACCTCCCTGAGTATCCATACACGACAACACACGTCTGCTCATTGATGTCGTCAGTCAGTGGATGACGCCATCAGGAATCATGTTCCAGAAGTCCAAGAGAGTCTGTTCAAGTCCCTGCCGGTTTGCTGGTGGTGGTTCACGCTGTCTCAGCTGACGACCATGATGATCCCAGAGATGTTATATGGGTTCATGTCTGGAGAATGCGATGGCCAAGGCAATACGTTGACGTTAACGCTGTGCAGATATTCGCGAATTCTGGCGTGGTTAGGCCTTGCGTTGTCGTGCAACATGACTCTTCTTGGCTGTTGTCGAATAAAGGGTGCCACAAAAGGTCTCAAGACTTCATCCCTGTATCGCTGGGCATTCAGATTTCCTTGAATGATAACCAATCTTCTTGTTCTCTGGCCACAAATACCGCCCCATACCATGATGCCTTCTCCATCGAAGTTCTTGAACGCAGTTTGGCACCAGTCATTCTCAACTCTGCCATCGTTTTTGAACCAACTGAACCGACTTTCATCTGTAAGGAGCACTCTCTCCCAGTGATGTCGCCGCCACCGACGAACAGTTTGCGCTCATTGCAGTGTGCTTTGACGGTGTAGATAGGTCGAGGCCATTCCACGGAAGGGGCGGTAGGCTCGTATACCAGACATACATCGTCGTCGAAGGACTGTTCGTCTGCTGATGGGGTGTCCTAGTGCCGTCGCCGCCGTTGACGTTGCCGTCTGATGTGAAACCCCCACATTGGCTATACCGATCGTTTCGTTGGGCTTGCGTAAGTCTTGGCATATTCGTGGTGTTTTGGGGTTACTGTATGCTTGCTCATAAATGGGTATTTATACCGCAATCATGCACGTGCATTCGGACCAATCTCCCAAAATTACGTTTTTCCCATTTTGAAAAATGCAAGTTTCCGGACAGCTGCTTTGTTATCGGGCAATGCTGCGTTTTGGCGAGTGTTTATTGCTTGGGTCCAAACATGAGTGTGAGTGAGTTAAGTTTTACGTCGCACTCAGCAATATTCCAGCTATATGGCAGCGGTCTGTAAATAGCTAACGTAAAAAAATAATAACTTTAATGCTGAAACTATTTAGGATGTAGCTACCATGCAGTCTCACTGTCACTATAAAAAGAACAGATAGGAGGGGTCGTCTCAAAAGCAAAACCTGGGGTCGGGCTGGGGGATAGAGATATCAGCTAAGATAAGATAATCCTTTAGGGCAATTATACTGGGGAGGTACACGGCACGTCATAACAATTTACAAATAATATCCAGTCCTGTCGATCTTCGGGTGGTCATGCCACCTATATACTACGATGCGTTTCTATGTTTTTCGGGTATCATACTTTTTTACATATCTCAACATAAACTTTATGAAAGAAAGACACGTAAGATATTAATCAATAGATGAGACATAGTCAACACACATGAAAAAGCACAAAATATCTTTGAGATGACCCCTTGTGCCTGTTGGCAGCACATGCATTTCATGCCAGGTGAGCCGACGGTCCGTTGTCATACCTGGCTGAGCGACCTAATTGCCTCTATAGTCTGATCTATTGTTTTCAGCAGCAATTCGTATTTTTTCTAACTTTTGCCCGATTTTACGAGTAAACATGCTTTTCTAGATATCGTATTACGCATCCCATTTAACGCCCAGTTAGGCCGAAGTGGGTTATTTCGACATATGCTATTTGCAATTGTGTAAATTTTATGGATACAGAGTAACAGCCTAAAAACAGTTTTTTTTCTATTTCCGACAGTACTTTAATAGATGCTTCTCTTGGTTATTTGAAGGTAAGTCATGTTCATTTATTTCATTGTATGTTCTTAAATTATGTTCGTATTTTCTCTGTTTTCTATTGCGTTCCTTACTGTTAGTTTATACCAATATTATCATTGAAATTATGCAGTATGGAATGACGTACACCAGGAAATATTTGTATTCTAGTTAGGTCAGACAATGTAGTACTAATCTAACAATTTAGTGTACATCAAAGCGTATACAAAAATTCATATGTTCCATGCTACCTTTCATCAATCAATGTTTAAGCAATGTACAGTATAATATACTGTACACGTAACCTTGTTGTTTTATTCAGACATTCTCATGTTACAATAAGTTATCAAATCAGGCAGTACATATAATCGGATAGTCCTATGTGGTCATATTATTCAACAAGCAAAGTATAAGACGAGTATTCGACGTGGGCACTTCTTGTTCTTCGGGTGATAAAGACGTAGTATTTATATACCATAATTACAGGCAGAGCAGGGTTGCCGTAAAGAATGAAGTATCAATGATTGGACGTAACTGAACTTTTTGATAGTTCAAAGTCTTCTAAAGATATTTTCTTCAGATCAAAGACGGCAACTGACAAATTTTGGACATTTTAAGAAGAAATGGTTAGCATCTTCCACCGGAGCACCACAATTGCAAGCTCTACTCTCTGATAGATTAACACGAAACAGATCTGCTTGTAATGAACTACACGAATGTCTTAACTTCGTGTGTAGTATATTTGTCTTTCTTTCACCAAATAGAAAATATTTTGGAACCTTGTCATTATTTCCTGATAACTTTGATTTAAAC